AAAAAAATTTTTAAAAAAAAAAAAAAAAAAAAAATCACTTGATGTCAGGGAGTTTAGAGTGTATTTACAAAGCTGGAACATTTTACTATGAGCAAACTATGAAGTTGTGCAAAGACAAATAAGGAGGCAATGTTTCAAGACTGGTAATTTTGAGGCCACATTCAGATGGCTCAAAATTTAAAAGCACTGTGGCTCAAGCAAAGAGTCTGTACCAAGATTAGAATTTGCACTACAGTCTGTTTCTCTAATCAGTAACTGATGCTGATCTTCCCTTGAGTTGAAACATCTGTTGTAACAAGACAAAAACAGAACCCTGTATTTTGTTATGGACAAAGGAATACATGTATGTGGATCATTCAGGCCCTGAGAAAAGGGAACTCACTCATAAAGGATTCACAATACAATCAAGTCTCTTATCAGCTCCTACCCCAAATTGAAAGTGCCACTGCAGCAGCAGATACCAACAAATCAGGCAATACCAGGTGTTATATTCTTTATTGCTAAACTGGTCAAGCAACTTACTAATTAATTCTATTTTTGGTAGACAGATTCTGGAATGTGGTTGAAATAGGGACAGGAAAAAACTACAGTGCGGAACAATGCAAAGTGAGGGAGAAACACAGCATGTGAAGAGATGCACTAGGCTCATGAATAAACCAACGGACTGGAACTCAGGAGACTCAAATTCTATTCCTGGTTCTGCCACTGAGTGACCCTGGGCAAGTCCAGCCTCCTCAGTTCCTAGGTTTTCTTATTCACCTTCATTAATAAAGCACTGTGCGATTCACCAGTGAAAACCCCTGCATATGAAATTAGGCATTAGAACTATTTGTGATTCGCCTTCCAGTAGCAGGAAGCAAGAAGTGACCCAGCATGTTATAAAACTGTGCTTTAATGCTAAATGCAATGCATGTGTATCCATTGCTACCCTTCCAAACACATTATTCAACATAGTTTGTAAAGGATGTAGAACACCCTGATGTTGTCATTCCCCTCAAATCAGATCTGGCATAAAATTCTGTATCAAAAAATCACTGGACTGGAATCTGGTGATAAAGTATTTTCTTTGTCACCTTCAACTGAGGTTCTCATGTGAAAGGACTGTAAAAAAAATGGCATGGAGCCCACATACATTCCACCTGGAGAAGCATTAAATCCTTAGTTTACATATATAATTCTTCCATGGTCCCACTAGTTACAGCATTCACCTAGGCCAAGGGTAGCCAATCTGTGGCATGTATGCCAAAAATGGCACAGGCAGCCTCTCTGTGTGGCTGAGTCTGAAACAGGAAAAGCAAGGATTTGAAACCAGATGCCCCACATCCAGGTGAGCACCCTAAGCAGTCAGCTACTTGCTGTTAAGGGGTGCCTAAGTCCCTGTCTCTCCAAACAATTTTAAAGTCTTGGTTGCATCCTGATAAGGAATAAAAAAATAAAAAAGGAACTGTGAAATTTTTGCAGAAAATTTTTCTTACCCAGCTCTAAAATAACTAAACACCTTAGGTATGTGTCACAAGCTCAACTTAGTTACTTATATTTATACCCTACACCCAGGACAGTCTGTCATAATGCATTTACAGTTTTATCCTATGCCTATGTGTCAGTATTGCTCGTTCCCACACTGGTGACAGGAATTAAAGGGAAGCAAAAATTTTCTCTTGTCAAAGACCTCAGCAAATGGGCACACATCTGTTTCGCTATACAGAGGTTATTGGGCTTGATACAGAATTAACCACACAGCAGCAAGGACCTGTGCTGCAGCCTCAGTAAGCAAGCCAAGACTTGTCTGGTTCTAGAAACTCAGCTGGTTATCAAATCCTAGAAGTTGCTTCATGAGTTCATAGGTGCAACATATAGTTGGGATTTGACTATTGCTTTGGCTGTACATACTTGAATCTTAGAACTATTAATTTTAATTCCTTTCCACAAGCACCAGATTCACATTAATAACATGCACCATAACTCATCTTAAATATCAGATAAGGAACCCCTGCATCTCAAAATTTTCATAGCCCAAAGCCCAGCCCCGCTGGGATTTGTCAAAAGTTGGACAATTTACTGAAAGGAAACATTTGGCACTGGCAGACCATTTCTCCATTTTAAAGAGAAAAGATGACTCGCTGGCCTTTTCCATCTCTAAACATTATGATAATTTTTAACAAAGTAGAACCACAAGGCAAATAAGAAAAGCGACAATTGTTGTCCCAGGATAAATTAGAACACAGTGACCTTAATCTGAAAGTGAGGAAAGTGTTGAACTCTGTTGCGCTGTGATCATGTGCTTCAGTTTCTTATTGTCAAACATAATCTAGTTCATAATCTTCTTACCCGGCTTTGAGGAGTGCACACATAGCAACAGCGCCCCACAAACGGCCTTTTTCTGCTTAGCAGGGTCTCCTTCCATTTTAAAGTGGCAGATCGAAAGACGGTAGGCCTGGAATTGCACTCTCCCTAGGAAATCACAAAACACTATGTGAAGACGTACAAAGTGAGGTATTTCTCACTGATAAAAATTTTAAGTTTTAAATGGACATGTTAACATTTCTTAAACAAAATCTATGTATTTTCCCATGGTTTTTTTCCTAAAAATGTAATTGCCCTAATTGACAACACACACATGCACCCACACTCAGTCTCCTATGCTATTTGTCTCTCCCACATTGCAGAATTTTGCAGGTATATAATTATATCAAACGCAACTGGCAGCAAGCAAATAGGAAACAAGTGGAAAATTAACTGTGCATTTCATTTTTGGCCATTAGCGAAATGCAAAAAGCAAACCGAAAATGGAATGACCAGTGAGTTATATTTAATTTTAATAATTAAAAGTTGTTAATTATGTAAAAAACAAAAACCTACTTTCCCAAGCATGTCCTTTAAAATTGTAGTAATACTAAACATACAAAACCACAATCAGATCTATGGTCTTTATCAGTTCCAACTGTCACATGCAAATGTCAAACAGAACTATTATGTTAAAGCCTTCTTGAAAATTAGGCTATTTTTTTAAATATTGGAAGTACAGAATATCATATATAATTACAGGAACAAGAAAGCTAGAGTTCTCTTGTATATGGCATATTGAAAACCAGTATCATGACACACTGTTCTTTACAGTAGCAACCAAGTTAGACATGCTAAAACCCAACTCCAGTTTCCCAAGAAAAATTCCTTCCTTTCCATTTTAACTGCTAAAATACAATCTCTGTTCTCTCATAAACTGGCCTCAATGACTACAGCCTGCCCTCTCTCATTTCTCCTGCCTCTAGATGGATCCAAAATAAGATTGTCAAAATAATAATCGTTTCCCCCAAATCTGACCATGCTTTCAACTCTTCTTCTGTACCAAGTTCAAATCCCTCCTCTTCAGAGCACTGAACAGTTCCATTGTGCATATGCAATTAACTCAGATCCTCTTACACCCCCCATCTTGCTCTTTTTGCTCCACCCAAGCTTTTACACTCACTGCCCCCTTCACTCCAAACCCAGAGCCTCCACACAATGCCCTGTATACTTAAAATAGCCTTCCTTTTAATTTCTGCTAAATTCCCTCTATCTCTGCTAAGAAACTATTGATATTCACCGATTCCCTGAAAAACCCAAGCTATTGTTTTCACATCCCACAATCCCCGTTCCAGCTTGGTCTTTTTCTTTTCTTCTGTGTCTTTCGAACAAGTCCACCCTTAACTGGTTCCCACGCTAAGCTTCTTAGGACCATTACAATAGTTATATACACAACTACAATAATTATGTATACAATAATTATAGTAGTCTTAGGCACTCCCTTATGCTGTTGGTTCATCACCAGTTCCTCAGCCAAAGGCAGCAAGAACTGGTGCAATGCACAAGAGAGAGAAAATTCCTTTCCTTGCTTTCAGCTGTTAAAAAAAAAAGTACTCTCTTATAGAAAGAAATTACTGAAGCCATATTTTTACTTACCCACTCTTCACTGGGGTGCTTACATCTCCCCACACTGTATTCCGTTGAAGTGGACAAATAGGAAACATCTATTGTTCCCAGGGACAGAGCCGCCTCATCCATGACAAAAGAGTTAAATTTAGAACCATGGGCTACAAGGCAAAAGGCATATTTATAGTGAAGAATAATTAACCATTCTCCTCATTCCCAAATAACCTGGCATCCTGTCCTAATTCAGGCGTTCCAGCTGGACTCTGCACTCTGCTTGTAAAAAATCAGCAGTTAACCGGAACAGTAAACTGACAATACAGAGTATCTGGTTGGTGTCCATACAGGAGACGCATTATCTGCTTGTCCGTATTTTTGCTCTCATCCTCCCCTTACTTACTCTTATGCTCCCTCTGTGCTTCTCAAACCGTCCTCTTCCCAGCTGCCTTTGAATCCTTCAGAATCACAAGGCCTTTACACTTCCAGGTACTTATTCTTTTGCAATGCAGGACCTTGCTCCTTTTTATCAAATCTCCCTTGTGGACACCTCCCTCCCATAAAACCTGTCAGCAACGCTCTTCTCTGCAATGTCATCCAGAGTATACCACGTGTCTGTCCTAGGTAGCATCTAAACCAGCTTTTAAATTCCTTGGGGCAAGGGATGCTATGCAAACAAACTGAACTATTGCCATGCAATAACTATTGCAATCCAACAAGCTCAAGCTGCACACAGAACAAACCTACATTTGGACGTTTATCTTGCTGGGATCTTTTGACCCCAGATGACATCCTGCCCCTGGGGCAGGGGGCTGGACTCGATGATCTTCAGAGGTGCCTTCCAGCCCTAATGTCTATGAAATATCTAAGTAACATTAAGGGCATTCTTGTAAACAGAAATATTTCAGATATTAGCACGATAAAGTCCACGAATGCCGCCCCATTAAAAGCGAATAAACAGTTAAGTCAAAATCATTACAACAAAAAAGCATTGAGATGTGAGGGGTTGTTTTTACATTTAATCAACCACTAGTATTCACTACCATGTGAACTATGCTCCATAATAAATCAGTTTATTGAAAAGCCCAAATTACACAGGATCAAGTCAATGCTACCCCTCATGTCTGTCATCTCAGAGAAATTATATTTTAACTCCGAAGTCCTGCAAATACATAGGCACTTGCCACTGACCCGAATGGTTTATTCTGGCAAAGGACTGCATGATTACAGCCTAAATCACTCATCCAGGATTTTACTTTATTTAATCTACATCCCAATAAAGCAACTCACCCACCAGACCCTACTAGGCAGAAAGTTTCAAACTTGCACAAGAGTCTTAAACACAGACAACTTGCAGGATACGGGCCTGTAAAGATTTACAGGCAGAGTTAACCTTACACCTTATTGCTTATGCTACCAACGTAGCTGAGCGAAGCTTTCCCGGATCCCAACCTTCAGCTGCCTTTGGCTTTCCTGGGGCTCCTGCCCGCTCCTAATTTCTGACCTATTCCCCTTAGTAACACTGCAGGGGTTACAGTCAGACACGTCCCCTAAACCTTTTCCAAGGTCACCTTGGCCACACTGGCACATACAACCAACCCTCACTCAGCAAAACGAGCCACGAACTGCAGCAAAAAAAAGACTCGGCCACACCAAGTCTCAGCACGCAACCTCGTACGTTCGCTTCCAGCGCCTCCCCGCTTCTTCTCTGAACCATGTCAAACTCACATGGAGCAAAAACATGCGGCGGGCTCCAAAAATGAGCTATAAATACACGTACAACTGCAGAGGTGGACAGCGTCCCCACGCCGCACCGGTTCTCCCGTGAAGGCGACAGGAGGGAAGCCTGTTGTCACAAGCGCTGCACGTCCTGGGGGGCGAGTACCACCACGGACAAGGACACCGGGGGCCTGGATTTGGGACTGGTGCAGCAGGTGCGCGTGGTCGCCCTCCGCACGCACAGGGCCCTTGCGCTGTCGCCCTCTGCGTGCATGGCGGGGGATGCTGAGGAAAGGGGCTGGGGCGGGGGCAGCCTGGGGACCCCCTTCCCCAAACCTCTGCCTATTAATAGGGGGTTTCTCCCCCCCATGCACCTGCCAAGGGGGGGCCCGCTAGGCCCGTGCGGTTCTACTCACACTCACACGCTGCAAAGCACGTGCACATGTACACACTCTCTCTCGCACACGCGGCCGGTACCTCGGTGCAGGCTCCCGGCTCCGCTACTGCTGCTGCTGCTGCTGCCCCTGCCGCCGCACGCGGGACCCGGGCGGGATGACGGCGGCGCCCGCGCCGGGCCTGACGCGACTTCCTGAGCGCCCGTCGCCATGGCCGCCCGCACCGGCACACACACACTCACACTCACACTCGCTCGCACACCGGCCCCCCTCCCCCTCACACACGCACCCTGCGGGACGCAGAGACACCCTGGGAGCAGCCGGCGCCTCCCCTCCCCCCCGGCCT